CCCTCAGCGCTGCTCCCGCGCCTCGCTCAGCCAGTGAGCGGGAACCGGTCCACATGTGGGATCCGAACCCTCGGCGGGAGCGCCACCATGCTCCCAAGCGGCGCACTATGGCAGTGCGCCACCGGGCTGGCCCCAGGCCCTCTTTTGAAGCTTGATCTCTATTTATTTACCCTAAATGGTTTGTGTTGTTTTGCCTTTACATTTTACTGTAAAATTTTTTTAATGTACCCAGAAAAAGTGAGAATGAAATAATGAACTCATGAACTTGTCACCCAGCTCCAGCAGTTATCAGAATGACCTAACTAGTTTCATCTATTTTACCACAATCAATCCCACTTCATACCTGCTAGATTATCTTAAAGAAATTCTCAGATGTCCTGTCATTTCTTTGGTAATCTCTTCTATGTACCTGTAAAAGAAGGACATCCTTCTTTTTTGGTGGCTGGCAAGAATGGGGGTCCAAACCCTCGACCCTGGTGTTATAACACTTGCTTAGGAACTGAGAAACCGGTCAGCCCGGGACTTCCTTTTGTTAACATAACTATGATACCATCATCACACCTAAAAAATATTAACTATTATTCTTTGATATCATCAAATTTCCCCCAAAACCTCATACATGTCTTCTTTTAAAAACTGTTGTTTAGTTTGGATAAGGATCCCCAAAATGTCCATGCATTGCATTTGGTTGATAGTGCTTTTAATCTGCAGCAGTTCCTTTCTCTCTATCTCTCTATCTCTATCTCTTTCGTTGTCATTTTTGAGAAAGGAGATTGTCTTGTTTCCTTTATTTCCTGTAAATTAATAATTAGATTTATAGGCTTCTTTAGATTTAGGTTTGATTGGGAGAGGGAGCAAGGTTACTCTCAAGTGGTGCTATGTGCTTCCAAACGGCAATGCTGTGACTGTGGGTCTAGGCATTGTCAAGCTGATTCATCTGTTATAAAGTTTCCTGCCATTCTTTCACCTAGAGCAGTAGTTTGTGACCCTGGCAGCACATTAGGGTCACCTGTGAAGTTTGTAAGACACACTGAGGCTGGAGTTTCACTCTAAACCATTTACATTGGACACTCTGGAGGTTATCCTAAAATGAAGTTGGTTCAGGATAGGAAGTATAAATGCTTGCTTCTTTTTCTCTGTTTACCAGATTTCAAAATAATGCATTTTATTCTCCAATGGTGACCAATCAACACTTTCCTTTTTTTTTTTAACCAATATCTTCTTTTTTAAAAATGTATTGTTTTGAATTCATGGATTTTAAAATTATCTTAAACTTCTTGAAAATGAAACAGAGGCTCCTTTTACTCCCTGATATTTCTCCACGCAGAGCTCTGATATGTCTTTCTGCTAATGTGGCAAAATTAAAAGAAAGATCTGGTTTTGAATCTCACCTCTACTACTTCCTAGGTTGGTGATTTGCGGCAAGTTTTTTAGCCTCTCTTGGCCTGTTTTCTTATCATTTAAATGGAGACAGTATTTCTACAGAAGTAGGGTGACTAACTTGCTTTGGTTTGCCCAGACCTCTCAGGCTTTAGCACTGAAAGGCATGTGTTCTGTGCAACCCCGTAGTCTCAGGCAAACAGAGACAGTTGGTCACACTAAGGTTGTTATAAGGATTAAGTGAGAAAATGTATGTGAAATGCTTTGTATGTAGTAAATTTCAACAAATACAGCTACATTTCTGTAATCACACTTTATAATCTGGCCTTCTGCTCCTGAAATTTTGGGGTTCATATCCTAAAATATGAATGGATCAGATGCACCTGGTGCCCTTTTCGGGCAACTCTGTGAACTGTGCTCTTTTCTAACCTACTAGATCCTGAAATATTTTGCCTGGGAACCTTCATTCAAAGACCAAGTTCACAACCTTCGGAAGAAAGAGCTCAAGAACCTGCTGACCTTTAGTGTGATGCAGGCTATAATGACATTCCTCTTATACTTAACTCCGGTCCTGGTGAGTAGTGGAGGGGTCAGTGGGCTGGGTATGTTTTGATCCTGGGTCAGCTTCCCAAAGAGAAAGGTCTATTCTTCATAAGGGTTAGCATTTCAGGCTAACCCTGAAATGCAGGGAACTTAGTCCCCCTCTTCAACTCCCCATGCTGTTCCTACTTTGTGCCCCCCAACTCAACCCTTGTATATTGTTTCGTGGTCCAGCAGCCCAGAGCAAGTTTTCAGGATTTTTGGCATGAATGTGATATCCAGGAATGATTTGCATAAGAGGGCTTCTTGTCTTCTTGGGGGAGGTGGTGTGGATCTATAATGGAAGGAAGAGTGATAGAGGAGACAGAAGACTCAGGCTCTAGTCCTGGAAATCAATTAACTGACTTTGTGACCTGGGGCAAGATATTTCCTCCTCTCCTGGGCTAAGTTTTCTCATCTATAATCTAAGGCTGCTTCAGCTCTCATATGCTGTGGTCCTGAAGCTCAGCACAAGCCTCCTTGGGTCCTCCTAGGAATAAATTTCTCATGACCTTGCTCTCTCTAGGTGTGTGTAGTCACGTTTTCTGTTTACGTCCTGGTGGACAGCAATAATATTTTGGATGCAGAAAAGGCCTTCACTTCCATCTCCCTCTTCAATATCCTGCGCATTCCCATGGGCATGCTTCCCATGGTGATCTCCACCATGCTCCAGGTATGTAGCAACTCTCATTGCTAACTGCTTATCTCTGGTTAAAAGCCTTAGAGTCCAGAATGACTGGCCTATCATATCTCACATCTTGCTTCTATTAGTGAAATTTCATATACAGAGATCTGTTTGGTTTTTAGAGATGAGTGGCTTGATCCTAATAAAATCATGAGCTCTCTGAGTCCCCCTTTATCTGAATATAAAATGAGGATAATCATACCAATCTCATCTAACTCACAGGGAGATGATCTTGTGAAAGCATTTGGTGAGATTATTATTATTACTCCTGGTCCTGGGAACACTTCTAAACCATTTTCTCAGCCCAGTTTATGCCATATTTTACCAAGGCTTTGAGGTGTTGGTATAGCATTAGACAAATATTGCACAAAGGCAGAGAAAAGACCCTTTCTTTGCATGAACCTATGTTGTGGTCAACCTGAATGCAATTTGGGAGCCTGGAGCTGTCAGAAAATGAGTTTGGAGTCAGGAGGCCTTGGATGAGCCAGGGGGAATGTCTGGGTTCTGAAAACTGAGTCACTAAGGTGGGTCAAGTATCAGACCTCAGGAGGAAGTGCACAGGGCAGGTGGCAGAATGATGACTGATCCAGAATGACAGGGGTAGAGTGTGGTGATCTGCATTGTTCCCAGCAGGGGCTGGCTTTAGACACCTCAGGACAAAGGAAGGACTGGTGTTTAGGAGATCTCCCTGTCCTGGAGGATGTGAAGGAAGGCTGACAGGTTTGGCCAGTAAAGAGACAACATACTATTTTCAGATACAATTTACTACATGGCAAACACAAGATCGGTAAAAGTGTCAGCTCCCTGCATTCCTTGTCCCTCAGAATGTGAGTGAACCTAAAGAATTCAGATGATAATGCAACCTGGGCAGTGAGGCACTCTGTTTTACAGCCTGCATTTGCACCCTAAGGAGGGGACGGGCAGGAAGCCTGATACTTCATCAGAGCATGAGTGGCAACGGAACTCTCTCAGTTTTCTTTAAGATTGAAATAGAGTATCTTAAATTCCCTCTGACCAGGGTAGGATGGCTCTCGGGGCTGAGTTGTGGCTGAGTCTATGGTGGGTGACAGGAGGTTCCAGCTGTGACAAAAAGTCAAAATCCCCTCCCTGCTTGTCCTTGTTATTGAATGTTTTGTTCTTGAGATCCTTTTTGTCCTTCTCTAGGCCAGTGTTTCCATAGACCGTCTAGAGAAGTACTTGGGAGGGGATGACCTGGACACATCTGCCATTCGACATGACTGCAATTTTGGTAAATGAATTTGAAAGTTGCTTCCCACACTTATTCTTAGTGCTGGCACCATATTTTGATACACAAGTACTTAGCAGCAGCAATCTGATAGAAAGGGAGACCTATGGGATTTGCCTTGAACTCACGCTTGCATAATAAGCTTACTGTTGTTACTTAAACTATGTTTTCGCTTAGGGCACATTGCTAAGGAGAGCTGGGCCTGTAATTCTGATGATAGTGGGGTGAAGTAGTCTGTTTCTGTTCCTTGTAAGACAATACAAAAAACTGGGTAATTTATAAAGAAGTAGAATTTATTTCTAACAGTTTTGGAGGCTGGGAAATCCACGGTCCAGAGGGCACATCTAGTGAGGGTCTTCTTCTGGGTGGGACCTCTCTTCAGGCTTCAGTGATGCCTAAGGTATCACATGGTGAGATAATGGCAAAGGAAGAGAGCTATCCTTCTCACTGCTCTCCTTTAAAAGCCATTAGAAGCACACCCATGTTAACTCATTACTTCATGAATGTATTAATATTCACAAGGGAACAGTCCACATGATCCAGTCACCTCTCAAAGGCTCCATCTTTCAAATATCATAATTAGATTTCCTGCCCTCTTAACACTTTACAAAGTAGATTGAATTTCCAATATGTGGGACATATCTGACCTATAGTGCAGGGAATCCTGCAAAGGATCCCGAAAGCAGAATTCAAGATGGAGCCAAGCTCATGGAATTGGGAAGGTAGCCTGGAGTGAAAGAACACACCTGTTCACAACGGTTAAGGATTGGGGGGCATCCACAGCCAGAGTGAGAAATGAATCTGGAATCCAGTGTAGGGAGGATTTATATAAGGTAGAATTTATAGAAAGGGATTGGGCAACAGAGACCCTGGGATTGTACCCAGAATATCTATAGGTCAGGAATCTGGGCTACAAACAAGCTTCCAACTCCTGAATCAAAAAGGACTTTGTATGCAGACCACTTCTGTTTCATCCCAGGAACTTTCACTTCCTCCTGTTAGTGTAGGAGCCAGCACCCAAAAGAGGAAATTTCAGGGGCTGATGGAGGAAGGAGAGACACAAGGAGAGACACATGAGAGCTGAGAAAGGGCAGAAAGACATGAGAGAACATACATCTGACTAAGGGATGGTGTTTTCCTCAACAGACAAAGCTGTACAGTTTTCTGAGGCCTCCTTTACCTGGGAACAAGACTTGGAAGCCACAGTCCGAGAGTGAGTTGTCTTCTTTCTATCCTGCTGTTCTTTAGGATTCTCTTTGCTTGTCGTGTTCTTGGAAAATTACCTGTAATAGAACACATGGGGAAGTGAGGTATGTGCATGTGTTCAGTTAGATACTAGTGCAGGCTAAACCCCTGGAAGGATGGGCTGAGAGCAAAGATTCTGAGCCTCTTTCCTCACAACTGCATTTGCCACCTGCTTTCCTACTGTGGGACACGGAATGTCCAGCTGAGAACCTGTGAAGACATTTGTGCTCCAGATTATGGAAGGAGGTAACATGGAGTGGGCAGATGACCCAGGTCTCTTGGTATGGTAGGGGTTACACACAAGAATCTGAACTCAGTCTTAGTTTATTCATTCATTTAAGAATGTAATCAGGAACATTGGAATATGACTTTCCCCAGACTGGACAATGGAAGCTTCATCTATAAGATTCAAGTTGAGATCTGGAGTTTTATTACATAAAAATAACCCATTCCCACACCCCACCCTGTAGGCCACCTCCCCTGCCATGCAGGTGTGCTGCCCTAAGCCAACCCTTTCTTGCCATGCTGCTGCAGGTAGTGTGTCTCTTAAACACTGTGTGTAACTGCACACCCAACTCATCCATTGAACCACTTGGAAGCCACAGTCCAAGAGTGAGTTGTCTTCTTTCCATCCTGCTGTTCTTTAGGATTCTCTTTGCTTGTCGTGTTCTTGGAAAATTACCTGTAATAGAACACATGGGGAAATGAGGTGTGTGCATGTGTTCAGTTAGATACTAGTGCAGGCTAACCCCCTGGAAGGATGGGCTGAGAGCAAAGATCCTGAGCCTCTTTCCTCACAACTGCATTTGCCACCTGCTTTCCTACTGTGGGACTCGGAATGTCCAGCTGAGAACCTGTGAAGACATTTGTGCTCCAGATATGGAAGGAGGTAACATGGAGTGGGCAGGTGGCCAAGTGATGAGTCAGGTGGGAGTCCCTGCTCTGAACACTTCCAACCATAATGCTTCCCTTTGCAGAGAAGAAACCGGATGGAACTTCTACTCTTCCACTTTACTGCTGTAAGCATGGAAGAAGTTCAGCTCAGTGGGCAGATTCAGAAAGACTGAACAAGTTCCTGAAGTTCCTGATGTTCTAGGGCTGGCACACAGGGTTCCCAGGAATCTAGCCCAATGTGGGCCCCTCCTCAGCCAGACACAGCCCAACCTTCAGAGGAGGGGCCAGGGCATCTGGTTCACCAAGTGCTGCAGGTGACTCACTGAATAGCAAATTTGGGAAACCCTGATCTAGTCCAACCCCATTGGTTTAGAAACATGGGTCTTCAGTCCAGAAGAAGCGACTTTCTAAGATCACACAGCCTGGCAGTGGCAGAGTTGGGATTTGAACCAAGCCAGGTCTCGAAGTTCCCACTAGGGTCTTGTTCCATGGTACCACGTGGGTTCTAGGAGAATTTTTCCATTGGAAACCCACATTTGGCACAGACAATTTAAAGATGAGTTGGAGAAGTGAGAGCTCATTCTGTAGTCTTTTAGAAATTGAAATAAAAATCACTGAAATTTCCAATTTTGAGAGAAAATCTGCTAATGCCAGAATTCATGGAAATTCAGAGAAATCACTTGAACTACTCTTGAATATCACCCCCCAACCCCCATTTCCTTAAAAGACACTTTTGTTTTTCAGTGTGAACCTAGACATTATGCCAGGCCAATTGGTGGCTGTGGTGGGCCCTGTGGGCTCTGGGAAATCCTCCTTGATATCAGCCATGCTGGGAGAAATGGAAAATGTCCATGGGCACATCACCATCAAGGTGAGAGGGAAGTGCAACTGGAGAAGACTTCTGACCCTCAAATATGGGCCACTTAGTGCTGTTTCCTCATTTGGGAGAATGCACTGAGGGCTCGTAGGTGGGGCCTTGAAGACATCTGGTAGATTTGTGAACTGCAGATTCTCTGACCCATCCCAGGCTTATATAGTTAGACTCTGGGGAAAGGGTCTAAGAATCTACATATTTAATGAGCTATTCAGGCAATTCTCATGTGCATACTAAAGTGTGGAAAATGTTGACTAGAGATGTCTTCATTCAAAGTATAGTCTTTTCTGCTATGTCTATGCATGTGTTTCTGAAAAACTCACATTCTGCAAAATTTTACCTAAGGGAAAATAGTTGTAACAGATCGCTAAAAATTTATATAACTTTGTAAGCAAAGGACCAACAAAAATAAGACCAACAGTAACAACAACAAAAACAATAAGACCAGCATCACTGTAAAATCAACAGCACATCTGCACCCAACACCATGATTAGTCTTTGATCTCTCACCTCCTCCTTTGAGAGTTACTTTATAGCATTGGCTTCCAATACAAAAACCTGATGTAGAGTCTCGACTTCTTTTGTCAATTACGATTTTTTTTAACATGGAGGAAACTGTTGTCATGGCATCTTTATCAGCACTGTAAACTTCCCCAGAGAGCTAAATTTATGTGAAATTAGAGATATTTTGAATCTTAAACTAGCCACTATTTCCACCAAACAGGCAGGTGTGTAGATTTTCAGCTTTTTTCTTAAGATCTTCATATATTGCTAAGGATTTCTTTTTAATTATGAGAAAACTAGCACCTGATTGCTTTATATTGACCTGCTTGTAAAAATTTTAAGAACCATCTCTTCTTTCACAATATACTGACATCACTCCCTGATTAACCAGTAACTAATTAGCTAATTTGAATTTTTTAAAGCACGTATTATAGCAGAGCAGACTACAGATTTAACTGTCTCTTAACTCCTTTGGGGAAGCTCTTTCTTGCTAGGTCATAACTGAATTCTTCCTTAAAGATGGGCATTTGCCAGTCTCTGCCACTCTTTGGACATGACCTGCTTCATGTTCCATGCTGGCATCCTAATTCCAACCTCTTAGTTCTTGCTTCTGAGGGCACCATCTGTACCATTCCCCTGTCAGTATTAGTGCTGTCTTGATTCTGGTAAACTCATTGGGTTTGCCTAAAACCCTGTTCTAGAATCAACATGTGTATTCATCTTCTGATTTTGAGGATCATGCCTAGAAAATGAAAGTACAAAGAAGGGGACTTTAAATGGTGAATAAGACATTGACTCTTTCTCTCTGGTCAGTGCGATGTTCAGTGTTGACTTCTTTTGTCATTTATGATTTTTTTTAACATTGAGGAAAATGTTGTCATGGCATCTTTATGAGCACTGTAAACTTCCCCAGAGAGCTAAATTTACAGGAAATTAGAGATATTTTGAATTTTAAAGTAGCCACTATTTGCACCAGAGACATGTGTATAGCTCTTCAGCTTTTTAAAGATCTTTTTAACTATGAGAAAGCTTACACCTGATCGCTTTATATTGACCTGCTTGTAAAAATTTTAAGAACCATCTCTTCTTTCACAATTGATCGCTTTATATTGACCTGCTTTACACCTGATCGCTTTATATTGACCTGCTTGTAAAAATTTTAAGTACCATTTTTTCTTTTATGGTATACCTTCATCATTCCCTGATTTACCAATCACTAATGAGCTAATTTGCGTTTTTAAAAACATGTATTATAGCAGAGCAGACTTTACAGATTTAACTGTCTCCTAACTCCTTTGGGAAGTTTTTTCATGCTAGATCATAACTGAATTCTTCCTCAAAGATGGGCATTTGCCAGTCTCTGCCACTCTTTGGACATGACCTACTTCATGTCCCACTCTGGCATCCTAATTCCAACCTCGTAGTTCTTACTTCCTAGGGTGCCATCTGTACCATTCCCCTGTCAGTGTTAATGCTGTTTTGATCCTAGTAAACCCATTGGGTTTGACTAAAACCCTGTTCTAGAATCAGCATGTGTATTCATCTTCTGATTTTGAGGATCATGGCTAGAAAATGATAGTACAAAGAAGGGGACTTTAAATGGTGAATAGGACATTGAATCTTTCTCCCTGGTCAGTGCAGTAAATAACAATGCATTGTAAATATCAGATGATCAGCCAGCCTGACACACAGTTCTTCAAATCTAAGCTCCATTTGCTCCTTCACTGTCCTGCCACCCCATTCTTCAACACTGCATTTATAGAGTACAAATGTCATGTGGTCTGACCCTTTTCCCTCTAGGGCACTACTGCCTATGTTCCACAGCAGTCTTGGATTCAGAATGGCACCGTAAAAGACAACATCCTTTTTGGATCAGAGTTGAATGAAAAGAGGTACCAGCAAATTCTGGAGGCCTGTGCCCTCCTCGCAGACTTGGAAACGTTGCCTGGAAGAGACCTAGCTGAGATTGGAGAAAAGGTACTTAGGACAAGGGACCCTGAAGGGTTAAAAAATGAAGAAAAAAGTTAGGGTGATGGTGAAGAAGGATATAGTTGACTAACCTTGGTAGTCACATTTGAAGCAAACAGTTTGTGCAAGTAACTTAGAATTGTTAAACTTCGTACATGGAAGCAAATATAGAAATTATGTAATCTAGATCAAAGATGATGAGGCAAAGGACCTGAGAGGCTAAGTTAACAGTGACTGAGGTTGACCTCACAGGTGGTGGGACAGAGGTGGGACCAGAATTGGTGTCCTGGTTCTACTTCTGTATATAGTGAGGCCAGAGGAGAGTTCTACAAATCTGCTTTGAATACTTATAAATTATTGTAAATTATTTTTTCATGTTATTAAATACCTTTTTAGAAAATAGATTTAGGGCCGGCCGGGTGGCGCACTGCTACAGTGCACCGCTTGGGAGCATGGCGGCGCTCCCGCCGAGGGTTCGG